TGTGCTGCGGCAAGCGATATGGAAGAGAGAATGAGATAGGGACGGTTAGGAAAGGGAAGAAGGGGAGAGGGGAGAGGGAGGGAGAGAGAGAGAGAGAGAGAGAGAGAGAGAGAGAGAGAGAGAGAGAGAGAGAGAGAGAGAGAGAGTAGAGAGAGAGAGAGAGAGAGTAGAGAGAGAGAGAGAGAGAGAGAGTAGAGAGTAGAGAGAGAGAGAGAGAGAGAGAGAGACGAGTAGAGAGACGAGAGAGAGAGAGAGAGAGAGAGAGAGAGAGAGAGAGAGAGAGAGAGAGAGAGAGAGAGAGAGAGAGAGAGAGAGAGAGAGAGAGAGCGAGAGCGAGAGAGCGCGGCACGGGGCGTGAAAAAAGAAGAAAGGGTTCTCCTCAAGGTCGGCGGAGGGTGGATCCGCGTTTCGCGCCGGAAGCGCAAACACGCCCCCCAAGGCTCACTTACACGTGAACGACTGACCCAGACCCGGCTAAATCCGGCTGGCAAAGGCTCTTCGGGGTCACCTATGTACACACTTTGCTGAACTTTACGTGGGCACGCGATGTGTGCCCCCTTCTCTGGGATGCTCTGGAAACGACTGCGTTAGCAACACGTGTACCAATCGAGTCGTCTCAGCACCGTTTCTTTTCGACTAGTCGTTAATTGTCCTTACTGGGCAGGAAGTAATTGTCATCCCAGCGACATCCGCTCTAGAAGAAACGTAGAACAAACGTAGAACAAACGTTCGACGATGCGCTCCTCTTCGCGGTGCGACCCGATCGGAATGCACTCACCGACGCAACTGATAGTCTGGAATGATCGACAGCCTTGAAAAACACAAGCGTCTTCTCCCCTCGTCAAAACTTCCAGTGATGCTACAAAATTATCGATTTCGCGACACGTGGCATGACTCGATATCTTCAGCTCGATTATTTATGCGCTTCGTGCGAAGTCTTAGAAATTTTAATTACAAATTTTTCTCGAACGCGATGATCGATCACCACATCGGAGTCGCAAAACGCGCCCGTCGTGAAAGATATTCTCCTTTGTGCTCCGGCCACGGTGGAACCTCCAAATCGAACGACGATCGATGACACGGATTTCCACGTAATTTCTCGTCGAGCGTCGCGCGAACGGCGATACACACAATTGATCGCGCGAAACTGATTTTAATGAGACGGTGATAACTCGCTGACGACAGTGAATGATAAATATGCACGCGGAGAACGGTACGCTTTATGAAGAACGTCACGCGATACACTTGATCGCGAACCAATAGGGACGGGCGGCAGTTGAACCTCGTTTTGAAACTTAACACCGATCGATACTGCGCACAACTTTGTCCGC